AACATTATACTTCCATCAAAAATTAATTAGAGGATAATAGAGGTTTTAGAAGTGGTTTAAAAAAAATAGGACTTTAGAGAATTTTAAAGGAGCTGTGGACACCCTGATTATAAATGAGGTAAGAGTCCAATACTGTTTATAATTAACTCAGCATAATTTTGTGTATTCTAACTTTAGAAGACGTTCCACCAATTAACTGTAATTGATTTATCTGTAAAAAAACATAAAGTAAATATAATATTATGCTTGTGGGGATATATTATATTGTGGGGATATATTATATTGTGGAGAACCATCAAAACCACACAAGTGGAAAATTTGCATCCAAGTTTCCACTTGCGTGCAAATCTTGCATCCACTTGTCAACATTCTCATTATCACATTTTTTTTTTGTAGTTGTGAATTTAAAATTTTCACAATACTGTTTGCTTTCTTTTAGAATTGAAATAGCTAAACAAATAGTTATATATTTTGTATCAACAAAATAACTCTTCTTACCACATTTAAAAAATAATAATTGTAATATATAGATGTAATACCTGAAGAGAATTTAGTTTTTATTTGTATAAACTTAAGCCAATTCTTCTCTGCATTTTAGTGCCGTCAATTCTTTGGTACCTGGAAGCTGACAAACAGTTTTATTACTAATCCAATAAGATGGAATTACTTCTTCTTGTAAATCTTCATTCCAAACAGCTCCTTTCCACATATTCGATTTTGAAAAAACTACATAAAAATGAAGAAACCATAATATAAGTGCACTAACAGGCCTAATTTAACTAAATTTGAACATTTTATAATCATGATACTTACTAAACAATAATGTTAGTAGACATTATTCGCAAATATAAGATTTTCTTTATTTTATAAATTTATTATATTTTAAATTCATTTTTATTAATTTATTTATTACTCTATTATTCAGCAGAGTTGTGAATATATTATGTTAAAATAACTTAAGGCTCAATAACAAAAACAAAATAATGAAAGAATCCTCGATTGCTAAAATACAAACATCTACATAAGCTAATAACAAAAATTAAAAAAGAAAATATTTTAATAAATAATAAATTATCATTCAAACAATTTTAGAGACCAAAAAATAACTTGTAACTTATTTTTTACTCATCTTCATCTAATAAACATTATTATTAATACTAATTTTAAACATTATTAGAATATTTTTTTTTATCAAAAAATAAAAATATTACATCAGTTACTTTTTGGGCTTTTCTTATTTTACTTAAAACGTCAAGTCAATCCTTGGCTTTTTTTATAATTGAGTTTTAATTTGTAATGTTGAATTAGCACTGAAAAAAAAATATTAACAGACAAAAATACAATATTTCTTTATTGAAATATATGTAAATATTTCAATAAAGAAATTTTAGATTGATTTTTATAAATATAAATTTATATCAATCAATCTAAATTTTTTTCTTTTCCGCCACCTTTTCGAAATGGAGCGCATTTTAAGAAGTTAGACAAAATGCCATCAATTAAAGTTTCAGTTGCTCCATCGTATTTAATAGAAGCTGTTTATAAAAAAGCTGTTAACAAAAAAAGAATTAGAAAAAAAAAAAAAAACACAAGGAGAAATTTTTGAATATATAAAAAATGAGAATAAAAAAGTTCTTATAAAGGTATACCTTATCTTATAAAGGTATACCTTTAAGAATGAGAATAAAAAAGTTCTTATAAAGGTATACCTTATCTTATAAAGGTATACCTTCTTATAAAGGTATACCATATCTTATAAAGGTATACCTTTCACTACACTCATAAATTAGTGCTCTTAAAGAATATTTCCACCTTTCTCTTTCATATTCATGGAGGTCACAAAATTGTTGGAATTTTAATAGATAAGAGAACTGATATTAATTATGCGAGAACTAATATTATTATTATTATTTTTTTAATTTAAATTGAACTCATTAACAAACAATTTTTTTGCTAAATAATTTAATCCTTAAAACTCCTGAATAATTAAAAATTATTTTGATTACCTTAGCATTATTTTGTGAGTTCTGTCTTTTAAAGATATTCCATCAATTGCAATTGATTCATCTAAAAAAAAACATGTAAAGCTAATATTATTGTTTGAAATTTTAATTATCTTTATACAAATACTCATCATATTTTTTAAGTGACTAATAAAAATGGATTTAATTAAAATCACTTCATTTGTATTAAAAAATTAATATTAAAGCCTTAATCATACATTATACAAGAGCATTTTGTAATACAACCTTAATAGTTGTTGCGATTTGTAATTTCTTTATCAGAAATTTAGCTTCTGTAAGCTTTAGAAATTTTTTAAAGAAATTACTGATGAATTTGGAGCTACAGGTACTAATGATTTTATATTGTTGTAATGTTTGTATTCATTCCCAGTTAGTTTCTGTAAGTCATAATTTTTTAGGTGTTTCCATAATAAACTCTGTTATATCTGAAACTTAGTGTAAGTCTGAATAATTTAATTTCTAAAATCTGTTTTGCATTGCCTGTCTTATAACACCTTTACTTGGAACAAAAACCATGCGCTTTAAAAGTGAGCTAGAAGCTTTCAACCATAAAGAAAATATTGCATTCGCTAATCCTAAAAATATATTAAACCTGTCAGCGAGATCAGCTGTCAGTAATCCAAGTATTAGCATCATTAAAAATTCATCTTTGCTGCATTACATTTATTTTGGTCTAAGTAGTTAAGGATTTTTTTAAAATTTTAAAAAACAGAAGTAGATGTTTTTTTAATATCACTTTATCTTCTTCTGATTAATGGTGATACTGCACTGAATGATGAAACAGATTGACAGATGTAAGGCCAGTATAAAAGTCGCAAGATCTATCATTTTTAAAATAAATGTTTGTATACAAGTAAATTCTAATAACACAATTTGTTTGGATTATGTTTATATACAAATTTGCCTGGTTTCATAGACTATGAAACCAGGCAAATTTGTAGACAAGAATTAACAACGGAAATTGAGAACTTTAAAGAAGAACTTCAGCACGAAATAAAAAAAATAAAGATTTATCTGAAAAATTAACTTCAACCACATTAGTTATTTCATAGTAATAACTATAGTGATCGACCAAAATTCGGTTCGGTTCCGGTTCCGGTCAGAAATTTTGCCGGAATCGAATTTCCTGTTTCGGTTCCGGCTAGATTTGAGATTTCGGTTTCGGCCGGAATTTCGGTTCTAAATGCTACCGAAAATAGATATTATAAAACTTTATTTTAAATAAATTATTTAGCATTGTAGCGTAAATATATTTTGATTAAAAAAATTTAAATCATTTTTTTGCCAGTTATTTCAACTTCTTATATTATTTTTTGCGTCCGATCGCGTTGTTACTTTTATCTGGTTTTTAATTATCATGTTTAAAAATCATGATCTACAAATTTAATGACGCTACAATGTTATCTACATTGTAGAGTCATATGTTTATGGACTTGATTATTTATTTATTTTAATTATCGCATGGAATTGGTAACGGTAAAATCTTTACGAACTTGGTGATTTTTTTTTAAATTATCACGTGGAATTTGTTTGAAATAAATTAAAAAAGTTTTTATTGGTTTCATTCATTTTTTTAAAGCAAGTTGTTTTAATGTTTTCTCGTCGTTATAACTTTTTTAATATTTTCTCGTTTAAATTGTTAATTGTCTTTTTAACGAACTTTTTAATGTATTGAACTTTTTAATGTAACGTAAGAAATTTTTCTTAAATATATATATATATATATATATATATATATATATATATATATATATATATATATATTGTTAAGTTAACAACAATATTAATATAATTAATAATTAATATAATTAACAAAGAACTTGTTAATTATATTTTAAATCCTTGTTCTTGACTCAAACTAGCAACATTAAAAAACTCATCTGATTAAGTTCTTCGATTTCATTCTAATAAAATGAGCTCAAACCGAAAAACAAGTTTAGTGTGGAAGTACTTCATAATTGAAGCAAACAATCCAAGAATGGTTCAGTGCAAAATCTGCAACAGCAAAGTTTCAAGAGGATCTGACGACCCAAAAAAACAAGGATTAAGTGGACTCACGTCACACCTGAAGAATCATCATCCTGACATCAAACTTACGCCCGAAAAAGCAGAAAATCCAAAGGCAAATGAAGAAGCTGACTTAAATTCCAACAAGAGAAAGGCAGTTACAATCTTCAACATGCGATCAAAAAAACAAAGATCCGACATGTTACAATCTACAATTCCAAACTGGGTTCAAGCTTCTTCAAAAATTGACTCTAATTCTGAAAAAGGCCAAAAATTTCACAAGTCAATTTTTGAAATGATGATTCTTGACCTCCAACCATGGTCTATTGTCAATGATGCTGGATTTTTGAGGCACCATGCTCTTATTGCTCCAAATTACGAAATTGCTAGCGAAAAATACTACAGAAGTTTACTGGATCCGACTTACGAAAAAATTAAAGTTGCTCTCAAGGAAAAGCTGGTTCAATCAGAAGCTGAAAATGTGTCTGTCTGCCTTGATGCATGGTCATCATTTCATCATGGCTATCTGGAAATGACTGTTCACTTTATTTCCAAAGACTGGAACCGTGTCAAATTCTGCATCTCTTGTTCTCCATTTGATGAAAGTCATACTGCAAAAAATATTTTCAAAGAGATCAAAGCAGCAGCAGAGGAATAGGAAATTTCTTCAAAAATTGGAGTTTGCTTAAGAGACAACGCAGCAAATGTAAAAGCAGCCTTCAATGAGCCAAGCTGTAATTATAAGTCAGCTGGATGCCTTAACCACTCCCTTCAACTTGTGATAAAAAAAGACCTATTATCAGATCCTACCATCAACGAACTGATTGAAAAGAGTCGAAAACTTTGTTCTTACGCATCCCATTCTATTGGTTTCTACATTGAACTTTACAGACAGCAAGAAATCCAAATGGATAGAAAAGACTTGGCTTAAAAAACGATGTTGCCACAAGATGGAACTCTACCTATTACATGCTTGAGCGAATTTTACACCTGAAACCAGCCATTGCTGCAACCTTACTCAAATTTCCTTCTGTGGGAATTGAATTTTCCGTCCAAGATTGGAGCCTCTATGAAAAAGTGGTGAGGATTTTAAGTGTTTTTGAGGAGGCAACAAAAATGTTGTCAGGTAGTGATTCTTGTATCAGTTCCTGCATTCCAATTGTGACAACAATAATTAAAGCTTTGGAAACAACCTCCGGCGATGTCAGTGTTCAGAAATTGAAAATAGCTATGAAAAATGCAATGGAAAAACGTTTTTCAGCAATTGAAAAAACAGAACATTATTCAGTTGCTACTTTACTTAATCCAAAATACAAATGGTATTTTTTCCGATCTCAAGCTGCTTTGCAAAATGCCAAACACATTGTCATGTCCCAAATGGAGAATTTTGAACCTCTTGAAGATGAATTGGCTCCTGTTACTCAAATTCCATCTGGTGACAATGAAAAAAACACGGCATTCTTGCACATAATGTCAAAAATTATTGCACAGTCTCAAACAGGACCAAATGAGCATTCATCTTCCAAAATGACGAGGGAAGTGTTGAAGGATTTTTTGTATTGTCCAATGGCTTCTCATTGCCTAGAATTTTGGAAAAACTATGAAAAAAATGCGACTAGCAAAATCAAGTTAGCATTGACTAAGGTGGCAAAAAAGTACCTCACACCACCCCCAACATCCACAGATGTTGAAAGATTGTTTTCTACGGCTGGAGATATTCTATCTAACGAAAGAAACAGACTCCTTCCAGAAAATTTGGAAAAACTCCTTTTTTGTCGAGAAAATTTTGCAGTTGTTGGATTCTGCTATTAATCATTTTTTATTAATTTAACTTTGTGTTTTAATTGGAATAAACTTGCAAACAAAAACTATTATTTATTTTCGGTTCCGGTTTCGGTTCCGGCAAAATTTCAGTGCCGGTCGATCACGGTTATCGAACGAAAGTATCACTCAAAAGGCGATCAAAGTCCACTTGAAAATTATACGTAATTATGCGGAAATTACATATGCAAAATTAAATAAAATATGCTAAAAAAAGCTTCGAGAGCACATGTTACTCTTACAGCCGTGAAGGAACAAAAGTGAACTTCAATATTGTTATAATTGCCACTGTTATATCTGTTTTGAAACCGTTAATCTTATTGTGATTTTATAATTGTTGTTTTGTCAATATCACGGTGCCTTGTTTTCATAACATTCAATTTTTCATTGTCTTTGATTTAGTTAACATTTTTGTGTAAATAGAATAATGTCAATAAGGTAAATAATTCTATAAAAAGGTTTTTATTTTTTTAATAATTATGAACGATTTTTTTTTATCTATTACAAGATACAGGACATTTTTTAGAGCTATTTACATTTTTAGAGCTATTTACATTTTTAATTTAAAGTTTGAAATATGTGGCTTCGTTCTTGGTACCAAGAACAAGGACTATTTCAGTTTTTTCACTAGTTTTTGGCCCTGAACATAGATCTTGTTGTAACCATGGCCCATGACATTGTCACAACCATGCCCTAATTATAGTCTGTTATGATATGTTCATTATCTTTTAAGACTTTAACATGTTGGACAAATTTTTTTCAAATAAATGCAACTTTAACTTAAGTTGGTTAATAATGCACCCTCCTAGAGCTTGTGTAGAACTTATAATAATGCACCCTCCTAGAACTTTGATGTTTGTTAAATGTATTAAATATATCAGAGTTAAATATAACGAGCACTCTAATAATGTGTTGAAACTTGATAATTTATTAGTAAATCCACACATGGAATATTTCGCATCACTCTGTCATCTTTTAATGTCGAAGATTATTAAAAAGATAATCTAAAAAGTACATCATGGGTTTAGCAAATTGATAATAGTTGCAAAACATCTTCCATATACAGACAATACTTAAATTAGGTTTATGGACACTTGAACAACAATGACACAGATTTGACCTAAAAGAAGTATACAAGATAATGTATGAGTTTTATAGGTCTATTCTATAAGATATTCTTTGAATCAGTGAGAAACAAAAGAAGAAATGGCAACCTTTTTGGTTTGGTAAAGCACAATTTTCTTAACTCAAATTAGATAACATTTTTTTTTAGAACATGTAATTGACCACTGGATCTCATTTAATATCAATACTATCTCAGTCATTTTCCAGAATTTTTTTATAGCATGATTCAACAAGTTGTGTATTAAAAAATGGGTTTTGTCATGGACTAACATCTACGTAGTTTGTTATGTCTTAATGACATTATTACATAACTAATGATACCATTAGTAACTAATAAAAAAATAAATAATCTTTTTATATATATGTTGCTAGTTATATTTCATTTTCAACTTTCAAAAGTATGTTATTAGCCATGCTTATATTTGCAACATGGGGTTTAGATTTTGGTTTTACAGAGCCTGGAATTCGGTATACTAGTAACACAATGATTTGAATTTGCAGCCTTTTACTTTAGCTCTGCCACGTGTATCCTTATCAGCTTCTAAAACTGAACATCATTTAAATGATTAGTTTTACTTATTTGCTCTCCTCATCACAAAGTTTATTGATGAATTTTAATTATTAATTAAAATCACTGTAAAATAAGTAAAATAGCAAAAGCTATTATGCATTATTCTAGATTATTATATATTTTTTTAGCTCTGGTTCAGATTTGTCCGATTATGAAGACATTACTGATACATATAAAGTAGAAGAAGACACTACAACTTTGAAAGGTTTTTTTTTTATTATTCTTTGATATGATTATTAATATAATATAATATCTCAATGAGTTTAAAGTTTTAGACAACACCAAGCCTTGCATTTGCGATTCAGTTGAGGAAGCTACTCGATTTCTTCATAGTTATGAAATCAGTAATTCTGTTAGGTTTGCTGCCCTTTCCACTCCATAGAGCTTTGAAAGTTCAGGTATAGTATATATTTTTAACTGAAGCTAACATTATCTGGAAAAGCAACGATATTGCTATTATAAATATTTAAAGTTTTGTGAACTCTGTGTAGTTATGGTGATTTTGAAAATTCTATTTTTTTCATATTATATTTCTTTTCTTTATTTATTTCAGCAAAAATACTGTTGATAAATGGATTTAATTTAGTAAATTTACATGACTGGAATTTACTTTTTTGACCATTAATTGACATTGGATTAGAACATTAAAACAAACATCACCGCAAACAAAGTAAGTAGTAATAAAACCACACATAAAAAAATTTAATCTGAGTTAAGGTAAGAAGTAACTCAAAAAATCTTAAATGCTAATGTTCTTAATTGTACTATGACAATTACTCTGCTCTGATTGGCAAAACAAGTTATTGGTGTGACATCTGGTTGTAAGAAGTTGCTTCCACTCTTCTAGAATTTCGTATTTATATTTAAAAAATTGCATTACGTCGATTCATGGGAACAACACATTGGTGTAATTTTCATCAGTTTTTATTAATCATTAACTAACAACCTTGATTTTTATATTCTTGAAAACGCATTTTTCATTCCTCAACTTATTATTTAATCTGGTGGATACACAGGAGATGCACCCACGTCTTATAGATGATCACTGTAAATAATATAAACTTTTAATTATACTCATTTATGTTTAACCTATTGTACATTTTTTATTTGCTTTTGTTTTTCTTTAATTTCTGATTAATTTGCATATTGAGTTGTCAGAATATCAGCATGTGCTTCAGAAAAAAAACTATAAACGAAATTATATATTAAACATTTTCAGTTGGATGTACAATTTCATAGCCTAATAATAGCCTTTTCTTTTTTTTTTTTTTTTTTCTTTTTACAGGAGACCTACTGGATTCAATTTGGAAATGTAAACGATCCAATTTTAGTAAAATATCAATAAACAAGGCTTCTTTTTTTTTTTAACGTAATTGGAACCTTTGTTTTGATAAACTTACTGTTTTTTCTAATATGCCTAACATGTTTAACTAATTACTTTGACTTGGACAAAATAAACTTAAACTAGATTAAAAAAAAAATTGATTCTCTAAACTGGTGCTTATATACGCCGTATTGGTGCAATTTATTTTGCATAGTATAAAGATTTTCATGAAGACTTGGTACCTAATTTGACAGCGTGTATCTATTCATGATATTCATCTGAGCGCCAAGCGTCCGCAAAATTTTCTATTCGCCATGATGGGTGGCAAAAAGAAGTAAACAAATGAAAAAACGTCGAAGATCTTAGACATTTTTTGACATTACAGCTCGAGTTGTTGCGTACCAAACTGCGAAAACAAAAAATTAAAATGCAGTAAAAAATATTTTAATAAGTTTTCAAAAAAAAAAGAAGAGCAATGAACGTTATGACAAGCGGTTTTAAAGAAAGACTTTAGTTTAGCCGAACTGTGAACTTTACACATAAACACTCGAGCTTCGAAGAAAAAGTGTTGATAAAAACCATGCTGACTTTTTTTCCTCGATTAAACGCCTTTATATAAAAAGTAAAAGAAATTTATTGTATATAATACATCAAATCGTTTGAACAAAAGATCTACCAAAAGTGTTCATTGAAGAAAATAATATTAACAGCTGATTAAAAGAATTTTTTTTAATTGTCAAAGAATCTGAGAAAACTGTCAAAATTATAAGAACTAAACAATGAAATTAAGAAATTAAAAAATTTAGTTTAAAACTTAATGAATACAGCAAAGTTCAATTTAAAACTAGATGAAGACAGCTTAATTCAGTTTATAACTTTATAAAAACATCAAGGTTCAGTTTAAAACTTCATGATGACAGCAAACACTGCACTTCAACACGTAGCGAAGGCAGCAAAGTTCAGTTTAAAATGAAATCAAGAAAACGACGTTCAGTTTAAAACTTAATGAAGATAGCAAAGTTCAGTTTATAACTTAGTTGTAACATGTAAATTTACAGCTGTTCAAAACTTAATGAAGACAGCAAGGCAGCAATTGATGAAAGGGGAAAAATCGCATTTTTTAATTACAAAAATTAACTATCAATAAAAACAGGTTTGATAATCAGATAGAAGAAGGAACATATAAAATTTTAAAAGACATTTTTATATGCCCTTCTTTCACTATTGACAATATTTGAATTATTTTATTATGCATATAAGAGCTATGACAGGCTCTTAAAAAACACAACTTTAAAATAATGTTTAAATCAAAGGATTAGGAATAATATTTATTTACTTAATCATTCAAAGTTACCTCACAAATGGGGTTGCTTTGAATATTTTTTGCAGTAAAAGCAAAATATTTTAATTGGTTTTAATATTTGATAAAAACAACACTCTAGGTTTACATAAACTTAGTATTACTAACAAAAAAAAATATAATTTCATACCGAGCCCTGAAAAGTTTTTTTAGTATTCGAAATGTTCTATACAAAGTATTCTGGCTAACCTAAGATTTTATTTTTATAAATGCTGAAATTATTTAAATTCATCTTTAGTGATGTCTTTATTTAAAAATATTTATATGTTATTTTTAAATTTGAAAATATTTTATTCAAAAGTTGTATAAGATCATGACTTTAACTGTTCTCGTTCTTTTTTGTAAAAGTTTCTCACTTTATTTGAATAAGAACAGATAAGACTCTATATTGTGAACATTGTTCAGAGGTGCACATAGGGTGGAAGATCCAGGATCATTAGACGACGAAAATCACTAGAAGTACTTTATTAGTCTTATTATTGTTATTTTTAAGATATAAGAGCCATCTAGTAAATTTTCAATTATCTACCCTGTGCATTATAAAGACTCTGTGTGCCCCTGACCTTGTTATTATTATTTTTATTGTTATTTTTATAATCTTAATAACATCAGTTTTTTTTAATAAATATTGTGTTTACTATTTTAAATTTGTTAAAGTATATCCTTAAATGTAAGAATTATAATCTAAAATATATTATTGATTGATTTTCAGATACTCAAAATTACTGTAATATAGTTTTGCATGTAATAAAATGTCGCTCTTGCATGAGGAAAGACTGAATTGCATTTATAATTTCTCAAGTTTCTTGAAAGCTAATCAATCAATTCATTAGGGTTTTAGAAAAAGTACTCTGACCTCTACGACCAGTTACTGTATATATAGACCATAGACCTTGCTTTAACTTGTTTATTATCTTGATTAAAAATAAGTTTAAAAGGAATGCTATGAACCAGACAACAGGTTACAAAGTTGTAAGATTTAAGACGTTTGTAGAATTTAAAACTAGAGTTTGTGAACTGATTTAAAAAGATAACATATTAGATAAAATATATCAGTAAATTGAGATTAGGCCATTTGCCTGAAAGAATTAATTAATTGTACAGTCTTTTGATAATTAATACGGGTCTAAATTAATCTAGAACTGCTAATTTTTATTATAATATCCTATAATACTTATAAATAAAGAATTTTTATAATTCGGATATGGCATAGTTTGCTAAGAAAGCTACAACCTAATCATTTTTTACGGATCTATTTTAGCCGACTTAAGTTTGTTTATAGTTTTTTGCCACCCATCATGGCGGATATAAAATTTTGCGGACGTTTGGCGCTCAGATGAATATCATGAATTGAAATCTGTAATTTTTGTGTAACTAAATGTTATTAGATAAATAAACGAGGAACTTTTATTTTAAAACGCTGTAAAAGCAAACAAATTATACTTGTATATATTTTAAGAAGAATTAATGTTATTTGTAATATAAAATAATTATGGGGAAACAATGACTGTTATTTTAATTTCTGCATACGCGCGAAATATATAAATTTATAATATTTAAATATTTCTTACGAAAACCTAGACCAAAAATTGACTAAGAAAAAATTAGGCTTCCTTTTTCAGATTTAATATAATTAAAAATAAGTGCGTTATATAGATGAAGTAATTATCATTCTTTATTATTATTAGTTTAGCTCAGTCTTTTGAATTTTTTTTTAATTATTGGTTTATTCTATTCCTAAATTTGTTTGAAACTTTATAGAAATGTTATATTTTAACTAATATTAAATTAAATGTGATATTAAAATCAAAATAAAGTTAAATTAAATGCACCTAAATAGATTTGAACAAGGATCTGTTGTGAAAAGACAAATTTATTCCAAAAATGTTATTTAACGCTATTGAGGAAAATCAATATCCCTTTAAAATGATGTTCTTTACACTTTGTGTTAGTTGTAGTAACATTTTTAACTAATGTTAAAAAAAGAGAACAATGATTGTTAAAATATAATAAGAGGTGCCGACTCACACAACAAAAATAAATGGTGCGAATTAGAAATATAATGTATCAATAGTTAATAAATCACCTTAACTACATCGTTGTTCTAATGTGTGTGCATAATAATTCTGCACAATCACATGATTTGAAATCATACACAAAACATGATATCCTAATTTCCTTGCTTAGTTATACATGGAACCCAACATAAAGTATTATGGGAAACATCTGAAGACTATGCTACTCCTTATATTATATTATCTACAAAAAGATACAATTGTCACCATGGTTTCGATCGGAACGCTGCTGCAAAAAGGAAGCATAATGAAGCAAAAGAAAATCAGGTAAAGATTCTCCTATTTTTACAATTTGCATCGTTGTCAAATAAATTTATGTTCACTTTGGCTATTTTTTTTTAAAGAAAGTGGATCATTTATACATAACTAATTATGTTATCATACAAGATACTAAAAAGTTTAATTGTCCTGCAAAAGCCATTATGAAAGAAGTGGTATATTTCACTGACTTCAAGGTAACAAATCTACTGACATTACAATGTTCTATTAAATAGGAAATCATTTTATAAATTATTACGCACTCACAATATTTTATCAAGTTCTTAACTGTTTACTGTCGATCTATTACTTTGAAATAATCTTTGTTTAGTTTTCTTATTTAAATATTTTTTTCAGCTTATTAATTCCAGTAATTATCGTAAGAAGCAACAGTCAAAAGAAATAAAATATTCGTTGCTACAAAAAAAGGATGTGGTAATTAGTCGAAAAATTATTGTTGAGATAGACAGCTTAAATGATCACAAAAATCACCCTCTTGGCAAGGTATTAATGCTAGAGTTTTCTTAACTGCGTTTAAATAGTCTTATTTTAACTATAACCAATAGTTTTTGTATATTCATAAAGTACCTACACACAACGGTGACGACATTAAATCCTAAATTAAGGCATGTGGACTTTTTAATCGTTGTGAAGGCCACTCACCTATGAAAAAAGAGGCTCTAATATAAAACTCTGATATTTGTTTTAATTAGCTTTTATAACAGTAAATCTTTTTAACGTTTTTTAGATTGAGCTACTCTCACAAAAAATTGATCCACGCTTATGAGTTAAAATTTCTGAATACATTAAAGATGGTGTTTCTAATGTGCGTGAGATGAGAAGACTTTTAAATATTACTGTCAATGAAATGTTTGGAAAGAAAAATCTTCCTTCTAGAACCAACAGAAGATTTTATCCAAGAACTGACATAATTCGTTCGCACATGGTCAAAGAGCGTCTAAAGCAAAGGTAATAGAGTTTAAAAAATGCAAAATAAGTAAATTTTGATGTTGCAAATATTATAATATGTAGGACTATTTAAGAGAGGTTTTAGGTGTTTATTAAATATTAAAGATAACTTCAGTCATTCATTAATTTAATCAATCTTTTTAATCAACCAATTCAATCAATTAATCACTCAATCATATAATTAAAAACAACAACAAGGCTATGTTACTAATTTTTATAATTTAATATTTCATTTTATAAAGCAGACAATAAAATTTAACGTTTTAGATACTCGAACATCGACCAAGACTGCTTAGAAATCAAAATAAAAGAATGGAAAGAAGCTGACTCATCTGCCAATATCTATTTTCGACCTAAAGAACGGGGTAACAGTGCTGAGCTCTTGTTTGTATACCAAGCATTTTGGCAAAAAAAACTGCTAAAAAAATATGGGAATGAGATGTTGTTTTTGGATGCAACATACAAAACGACACGATATTCTTTACCTTTGTTTTTTTTGGTTGTCAAAACAAATGTGGATTATCAAATTGTAGCAACCTTTGTAAGCGAAAGTGAAACTTTTGAATCGATATCTGAAGCACTTGTTATCTTAAAGTCTTGGAATGAAGATTTGCAACCTCTTTATTGCATGACTGATTATTGTAATGCTGAGATACGTGCTCTCGAAACTATTTTTATTGGTGTGTATTTATTTATTTTACATGAAGTTAATTTAACTATACAAACATCCAATGAATCAACTGATTTTTAATATATATTTTAGGATGTAAGGTATTTATATGTGACTTTCACAGAGAACAGTCTTGGGACCGTTGGCTAAAAAAGCTATCAAGTGGTTGCTCTAACAGAAAAGATGATATTTTATGTATTTTAAGGCGACTCGCTTGGTCAAAGTCAATTGATGAGGAAGAAAATGCTCAAAGAATATTGGAACAGTCTGAATTCTGGAGTCAAGAAAGCTTTACTAAGTTTAAACAATATATAGAAAAGTATTGGCTCCCAATTAAAAAAGTATGTAAAATATAAAATTTTTGAAATACAGGAAGATTCAATAAAAAGTTATTTAATTTTTTTATATTTAACTGAACAAAACAAAATAAAAAAAAAGCTTTTTTTAAATTAGAGGTGGGTTTGGTGGTACAGGCAGGATCGTCTTCTTATCAATTGCAATACAAACAATGGTGTGGAAAGGCAGAATAAGTCTTTTAAATATACTTATTTACAGCGACATAAAAACTCATCATTGACTGGAATGTTAACTTTGCTTATTGATGACTTCTTCATTGATAAACTTGACAGGTATCATTTTTTTAAAGTTTCGTTACGTTTGTACCAATTTAAAAAAGTAATAAACACCTAAATAAAAACAACAAACACTTTCTCTGGTTAAAAAAAAACAAGTTCAGAAAACTTAGGTATAAGTATGTTAACAGCAGGTTTTTACCCTATATATTTAATAATAATTCATTGTATAGATTGTTCACGTAACTAATATAAAATTTTTTTCCCTTATCATTACATTTTGCATTTTAAAGATATCGTGTCTATGGTACTACATACCAAATCATTTACATTTATTTACACAATATTGGGTTTTTCCTAATACTTTATTAAAGAAACTTTGTTACTATGAATATTATTTCATTTAGCTATACTGATTCCAACTTTAAAATGGATGCACGTTACAGAAGGTATGCACGTTGGGTGCCAAGTTATCTTTACAACCGTCCTCATAGCTTTGTTAAACATTGCCTAATAAAAAAAAGTAACGTTGAGAATCTTGATTTGTCCGGAGTAATCATGATTAAACATGGAGTTTTTGCTGTACTAAGTTCTACCAAGCCAGCTACTAAATATTTTGTATCATTTGGTGATGAGATTACAATGCCAAAATGTACTTGTTTAAATTGGATATCAACTGCATATCCATGTAAACATTTTTTTTTAGTATTTAGAAAGTACCCTGCTTGGTCATGGAGTGCTTTGTCATCATTATATCTACGTTCACCATTCTTAAACTTAGATGCTGATGATTACGAAGCATCACACGAAAAACCACCATTTAGTAGGCCGGAAAGTTCAATTCTACCTAAAAAAGAATTAGATGTCATTAATGATTGGAATGAAAAATCTAAAAAAATTACAAGTGTTTGCTCTGGAGTAAATGTTAGGGAAATGCTTACAACAATTCAAAACCTAACATATGAATTTGAGGAAAATTCAGAAGAAATTGTTCTTGTTTATAGCACTCTTGCTTCTCTCATTAAAAAACTTGAAAAAAATAGAACTAAAGAATCAGGAATTCCGCTTTCTCCATTGGATATCAAGTTGCCTTGTCATTTAAAAAGGAACATTCCAATTCCTGTTCGTAAACCAATGAAGCTTCCTACTGATCGCGTAGGTAATCACAAAGATATGGTTATTGCATCTTCTAAAATATTTCTAGAGGAAAAAAAACACAAAACCGAGCCGATTGAGGTCGACATTATTGAACATATTGATGGAAATAGTATAATTATTGATGATGAGTCAGTTACTATTAATGAAAATGATGGATTCGAGATAAAAAGACTAAACCATTTATCACCTAACTGTAATCTCTCTTCCAATGATTTGAACGATATTTTAACAAACCAAATGTTATCTGACATTGTAATCCACACCATGCAAAAGATGATCACAGGTGTAGGCGGTCTCCAAGACCCAGTTCTTGGACAAAATCTATCGTTCCGTGTACAAAAAGCATCTTTTGTCCAGGTGTTGCATGATGGCGATGCCCACTGGTTGGCTATAAGTAATTTTGGATGTTCTGTTGGTGAGGTTTTTCTTTTAGACAGTTTTTTTCGTGGAAAAGTAAAAAACCATGTGGTTAGGCAAATTTGTGCTATTATGCATTGCAATGAAGATAAATTAACTGTACGCGTTGTACCGGTGCAACAACAAACAAATTATGTTGATTGTGGTTTGTACGCATTAGCCTTTATAAAACATATTACCGATACTAGATCAAATCCAAGTTATGTTGCTTTTGACGCTTTTCAAATGAGAAATCATTTGCTAAAATGTGTGAAAGGCAATCAGTTTACTGAGTTTCCAAAGTCCGAAACAGCTATGCGATTCTGCAAAGAAAAAGAATTCAATTTTTCCTTGTACTGCATTTGTAGACAAGTCTGGTTAGCTTCGGATAGTTGTATTAAAGATAGGTAAATATAACTTATTGCATTGTATTCTGTTTACGTAATTTCTTTTTGTCTAACTGGGGATTATATTTAGACATATGGTGCAATGCGGAATATGCGAAAATTGGTATCATCGCGCTTGTGAACGTATCCCTGATTATGTTTTGGAAGACAAATGTGCAGATTGGTCATGTTCAAAATGCAGCTCTATGTTATAAAATGTTTTTATTATTTTAGTTATTATTTAGTTTCGTAAATATCCTAATTTAAAAAATGGTTTGTTAATAATACAAACAAATTATTATACTGACTCCATATTTGTTGATGTATTTTATTTATCCTTTTTCTTTGTTCGCGTTGAAACGAAAGTTGAATATAATTCAACAACAACAGTTTAACACTTTATTAATTTTTTATTCGAGTAGAAAGCTTAAATAAGCTTTGTTAAAATATAACCGAATGCATAACACTTAGACCTTTGCTTTTCAGAAATATAAAATAATGTGAAAAAGCGAAAGGTTGTACTTATTACTTCATACCTCAAAGATATTATTTAATAAATATTTATGTAACTAGTAGTATTTATAAAAATAGATTATTTAGTAACTATTTATATAAGTAGTGTTTATGAAAAGAGATTATTTAATAACTATTTATGTAACTAGTAGCATTATATAGTATTTATATAACTTCAATATAGATAATTATATAAGATGTAAAAAATTCATATAAAAAAAAAATTAAAATCATTTTTTCTTTTGCATTTTATTAATGTTCAAAAGTTCTAAAAAAATTATGTTGTAAACAAGAAACAGTTTATTATTTTATAATATTCCTTGTAAACAAAGTTTATTTTTCTTATATAGCGCTAGAATAAATTGACTTAAAAATTTACGCAACTTTCTTATTGCGCTCCATTTTGTTTTTTTCTCAAACAATTAATTTACGCATAAGTTATATTAAATTAGCAGTTGGACTTTGATCGCCTTTTGAGTGATACTTTTATCTACTCTTTGTAACATTTTTCCTTGTTTTACGATTGGTACGGCTATTTTCTATTCCATCCATAGGGATGTATAATTTGATAATAATAATAATTATAAATAATTAAATTTAAATCTAGATAAATGAATAATTAGATAAATAATAATTATATATTATATATTAATCAATCAAGAATTAATAATTATATATTAATCAATCAAGAAATTTAATAATAAAGTTACAAAGAACTAATACTAAATTAAATAAACCATCATCGAATGTAAAAAGTCTTCGTTTTAAGTATTTTTATTCTCGTTAACCTTGAAATAAGAAAAAATAACTGTTTTTTCAAAACAAATTGCTTAAATGATTTTTTTTTGTTCAAATTGCTTTTTTACAATTGCTTTTGTAAAACGCATATAAGAATGAATAAAGGCGCATATAAAAATGAATAAATGCGCATATAAGAAAGAATAAAGGCGCATATAATATAAATGAATAGACGCGCATATAAGAATGAATAACCCTGTAAAACAGCTACTGAAGTTGTTGGTAAACTTGAAGAAATATTCTCTTTATTTGGACCGCCTGTATGTCTTTTAATGGATAACGAATTTCGGCCCAATACGTAACCAAGCTTTGCTGAAGAATGGAATGTTAATTTGGAATATCGAGCAGCACATCGAGCTCAAGGTAATGGTATAGTTGAACGCATACATAAAACGATAAAAAGAACAGTCGCTTGCTCACATTGTTCAATCGCTCTGGCAGTCTTGCTGTAAAACGAAACAATATCCAATTGCACTGAAAGTCCATCCAAGCAAATCAAGAAAAAACCAACTTGTTTCATCCCAGGTATCGATACTCGGAGGAAAACAGACGAGATAAATACGAAATTCAAAGAGGGAGACAAGGTGTGGGTAAAGCCAACTCAAGAAATAAAATGTGACCAACCGTGGATACCAGGTGTATTTGCAAAATACATTATCAAGCAATAATGTATTTTGCAAAAGCAAAATACTTTATTTACACCTGCGTCGCCGTACAGACCCACAGAGTTCAAATGAATCAGTCAAAGATGTTTTTTACAGACTAAAAGATAAAACCAATAACGCAAAAAAAAGATACAACGAAGATATCACTCAAGTGCAAAATAATTCTCTTGAACATAGCGTGCTGCAAGTAACACGCTCCGAACGAACTGTAAGGCCCCCACAAAGATTAGACTTATGAGTTAATTCACCACGAGGGCGTGTTCTATTTTTATGTTGGTGAATTAAGGTAGATTAGAGTAATATGAGCACCTTGGTAATATGAGCATACTTAAAGATTTATAAGATGTAAGCAGTGAAGTTAAAGTTGCTTTATGTTTTTCGAATCGACTTTATGTGGTGATAATAGCTAAATAGCTTATGAAGTGTTATGTCACTGTATTGTGTATTATGACTCCTTAGCTATTTTATTACAGATGGTTTATTTTACTTTTAAAGCTACTTTAACAAATAAAGTAAAATTATAACTATTATCATGCTGTATTTTATAATTGTAAGGTAACTGTTTGAATGTAGCTACCAGAGCCATCGCAAGGTTCCCCCATGCCCCTCTTGTAAGAAGAATTTCGTGGTTTTTATGACAGGTTTTGGAAGGGGCCTCCGAACTCCTAGCCGCGTCACTGATAGCCACCACATGCACGGGAATCTTTTATTATAATATGACTTGACTTGAGACTTGACTTGACATGTCACTATATGACTTGAGACTTGACTTGAGACTTGCTCCAAAGCGACTTGAAAACAGCTTTGATATATATATATATATATATATATATATATATATATATATATATATATATATATATATATATATATATATATATATATATATATATATATATATATATATATATATATATATATATATATATATATATATATATATATATATATATATATATATATATATATATATATATATATGAATACATATATATATATATATATATGTATGTATATATATATATATATATATATATATATATATATATATATATATATATATATATATATATATATATATATATAGTATATATATATATATACATATATATATATATATAAATATATATATATACATATATATATATATATACATATATATACATATATGTATATATATATATATATATATATATATATATATATATATATATATATATATATATATATATATATATATATATATATATATATATATTTATATATATATATATATATAGAGAGAGAGAGAGAGAGAGAGAGAGAGAGAGAGAGAGAGAGAGAGAGAGATAGAGATAATATAGAGATACATTTAAAATATATTGAAGATATTACAAGAATAAAGCAGCAGAAAAGCAAGTAGGTCACACAAGCTTCTAATAGTTAACAGGTTATGCATAATTCTTCGAACTTTTTTTGAAACTGATTTAAATAAGCAGAGTAATTTTTCAACCTTCAACTTATTGTTTATTTTGAAGATCAAACATTAATGTATTTAAAGCACTTTTAATTTTTATCTTGACTTCTATACAAAAAAAAAATGACAAGGTTTGATCGAGAAGCCCTCGCAAAACGAATTGTAACGTTCTATGGAAATCGTTTAAGTGATAAAAAGAAATTAACATGTAAACATTTTAAAAATGAAGGAATACCAAAGTCAAAATGAGAAGTATGGTGTGTATAATGATTTGGTTAGATCAGGTTGTCCTCCAAAAATGGATTAGAAAAAAGTCAAACGATTGACTAAAATGCTAAATAATTCAACTGGTATTAGTCAAAAGTATTTAGCTTTATGTTTTAAGGTGAACCAAAGCACAATTTCAAGAACTATTAATTTCAAAACAAATATTAAATGCTAAAAAAAAACAAAAAGCACCTTTGTATGAAAAAGATCAACAACAGAGAGCAGCAACATCATCGAGAAGATTAGTTAATAAAGTATTCCATGAAAAAAATATAATCATGGATGACGAAAAATATTTTAACCTATCAAACTCAAATATACCTGGAAATGATATATATTATACAAATAATAAATTGTTAGCCCCTGATAATGTAAAATATAAGTTAAAAAAAAAATTCGAAGAAAAGATATTGGTTTGGATTTGCATTTCTTCAAATGGATTTTGTGAACCTTATATACATAGATCAAAGAATTCAATAACATCCAATATATATGTGAAAGAATGTATGAAGAAAATACTTATACCATTTGTTAGAGAACATCATAAAGATAATAATTTTGTGTTTTGGCCAGATCTTGCAACTGCTCATTATGCTAATAAAACAGAAAATTGGTTTGTTGATAATTCCATAGAATTTGTACAAAAATGCACTAATCCAGCAAATGTTCCACAGACTAGACCAATTGAAACATTTTGGGATATTTTAAGTCAGATGGTAAACAGTGATGGTTGGAGAGCACGTAGCATACATCAACTAGTTCGAAGAATAAAGAGAAAATTAAATGAAATAAAAGAAAATGATCCAGATCTGTTACAAAGACTAACGATGAGTGCTAAAACAAAACTTAGAAAAATCGCTGATAGAGGCATCAACTCAATATGTTAAATATATTAATAAATACTAGAATGAAAGTTCTTTATTACCATATATACGCAACATTCAACTCATGACCGTTTCCATATAATTAATAATTTGTCTTCTCCCACTTCACAAAGCAATGCTTCTAAATTATTACTAAACTGCTTCTATGCAAACGCCACATCTATAAATCCTAATAAACTCACCGAACTTAAATTAGCAACGTCCCTCTATGATTATGACACCATTTTTATCACTGAAACATGGTTTGACGAATCCTCAGCACCAGCTATTCCCAACTACAATCTCTTTAGAAAAAATCGCTCTAGTCGTGGAGGAGGAGTAGCCATATATGTCAAGAACAGCATTATTTTCAACGAAATTGACTACTCTCAGCTTTACATCGGTTTCCAATGCAATTTCTCAGAACAGATCTGGCTCGAACTTAAACTCCCTCAAGAATCTCTCTTAATCGGCTGCATCTATCGCCCACCTACCAATAATGTTCTGGCTTTTAACGAAATAGTAAAAGCTATCTCCAACGCAAAATCGGCCGTAGAAAACAAAAAGTTTAATGGTCTAATAATCACCGGTGACTTCAACTTTCCCGACGTCATATTGCACGACGACTGGACCAACACCACCGGCGCTGAAACTAGTTTTGGCACTAAATTTGCCGAAATCATTTTTAACCTACATCTACACCAGCACTTTATCAATCCAAGCTTCATCCAAGCCAAGGGTCTGTTTAAAAATACACTAGACCTTGTAATTATCGAAACAACCGAACGATTAAGTCATATTACTATCGGTCCTCCTCTTGGTAGCGCTTCGCAAGGTCACTGCACTATGACATGGCAACACCAGCTAGCCAAAAACGTCTGCAACTCTCCCCGTTTTAACATCTCAAAGTTTATATACAGGAAAGGTAACTACGCGAATCTAAACGAGAAACTCTCCCAAGTCGATTGGGTTAATTTATTTAAAGATCGATATGCCGACGATGTTATCAAAT